AGGAGTGGTAAAGGTCTCGGTCTCAAAAATTGTCCCTAGGTTTGGGCTTCTTAAACTCTACAAAGAAACAATGGGCCTTCCTTTAAGGAAGCAGTTATTCAGGGTGTTTCCAAGGTACTGAGCATTCTTTGCAATGTTCATTGTACTTAGAGATCTCAATCATCAAAAAAACTGAAAAACTAGATGAACCCTTTAGAGACACCTTCATAAAATGGCTCAGGAGACCCTCCTACAATGGCCTAACTTGCTTCTCTTAGCTTCATTAAAATAAAACATACACCTCAGATGTTGAGCCTTTAAATGCTTTATGGATGTTCTTTTGTCACTAACAATCATTTCTTTCATAAAAAAATCAAAAAGAACAACAACAAAAGCATGCTTTGATAAAATAAGTCACTTATTAGCTGAATTCCAACAGATCCTTCAATAATTAACGAGGCGCAGCCAAAAGAGTTAAAAAGTCCAATATTCTACCCTGGATGTCTTAGAGAAGTCTTTCCCTTTTCATCTCCTTTCCTAGAGCCAACTTGAAAAAGACCATACACAGGTCAACTTCCTCAGCTGTCAAAGTAGCTGATCTTCATTCCAATATAACTCATACCTGACTTAAGCCATGGGACCCAGTGTCGGTACCAAGAGTATCATTTGCTATCTAAATATCGCTGTAAGCCAGTAAAAATTTTAAAGTTCCTATTAAAAATAAGTCACCCCTTTAGTGACATAGTCTGAAATATTATTTCTTGCTTTTCTCATAGGTATTCTTATACAGCCTAAAAAGGGAATATCAATAATTTCAATATGTCTGACGGTATGGACAGCTATTTTGAAGATAAGAAGAGGCATTATGGCAGTCAGTGTTGATTTCCTATTATCTTGTTTTGAAGTCTTGCATGATTTTCACTGTTTGGCATTCTTGCATCATTTTCAATGTTTTGTTTTGACTGGATTTATTCTGTTTTATTCTGTTAAAAATAAAATTTTTTTTAAATGGGGGGTATCAGGCAGCCAGTGTAGAGCAGCAGCCATGGCTCTGCACTATCCCATGACCACAGGCCTCAACACTGGCCACAAGGTGGAAAGTGTGAGGTATAGCTGCTGTTTACCAAAATATAGCTGCTGCCGCTGGTGCCTCACCAAGCACATGAAGCCTCTGGGGGATGCGATCCGGGAGGTGTGTGCACCATGGAGCTGCTCAAGGCCTCCAAGGATAGGCGGGCCCTCCAGTTTGTCAAGAAATTGGGGATGCACATCCATGCTAAGAGGAAATGCAAGGAGCTGAGCAGCATGCTGGCTGTCATGGGGAAAGCAGCCGCAAGGACTGAGTCCCTCTCCTCTGTGCAGAGTGAAGCTTTTCTGGAAAAAAAAACTTCCAGTAACAAAAAACATGTAAAATCAAATTTCTTTTTAATATGGGATCAATAAAAATATAGAAAGTCATATAAGCAAAAATCCTGCTGAGATGGCAGCCTACTTCCCTTGTCAAATACCTCAGGGCTTCCCTGGTAGATATCTTCTTCTCTAGGAAAGGATTGAAACAAACTACAAAATTGTTACAAAAAACCTCATTAACTCATAAAATAGCTCACCATTACCAGATGACAAAATGGCCTAGACATTTTACACTTTATGGTCCATGACATAATTTGCTTTCCCCAACAATACCACTGAAGCCTACTACAGGCACTAGGAGAGCCCCTTCTAACTCAGTACAAAGTCCCAAGGCCAATTGTTAGACCTAATAGCCACAGATATCAGGATAAGATACTTCTAGGCGTGGGATGACTATGTGTATTTGACTCCCATTGCAAGATACCTTAGTCAAAAGGTCTCCTTATAATAAGAACGCAAAAAACACTTTTACTCACCTTGGCCCGATGTCATTAAATATATGAGACAAAATCCACATGATCAGTATACACACCCAGTAACAATGCAGGTAAAATTAGATAGTGTATTTTCAGTGGCATATTTTCATTACCTCTAAGACAGATGGGGAAATGCTCTTTAAAAAACACAGGGTTACAAAACAGATGAGTTAAAAACACTGACTTACCCCTCTCCAACACCAGTGATCTCAAAATGTATTTCACCAGTATGATCATTTGGCTATCTTTGTTCCTTCCCTGGGACTAAAAGCTCTCATGCACCATATAGAGATACTAACTATACTCAAAGGGCCTTAAAGGACACCAGAACAGTGCAATTAGTAAGATAGGGCCCTACAAAACTGGATGGCCCTAGACATTTTAAGGAAAATACAAGGCTAAACATGTATTTTGACCCTTTGTCTACGGTCTCTATGGGTCTCATCACCTCCAACAAGTTAATGCTATGTTCAATCCAGAAGCCGTGTCTATATTCTTTATATATAAGGTCCTTACTGGCTCTGACCGATAAAAGCTCTTGCTGGTAAGAATAGTGACTGTTCTCTCAATCTTATTTGGATCCTGTGTCCTTACCTGTCTGCTTGGTTTTGTTTACTCTAGGTTTTCAGGTATCCACCTGCTTTATACCACACCTGATGTCTATGGAGGGCCTCTAGACAGGCCCCTGAGAATGTCTCTGACTGCCAGTCAAAACAGCAGCCCCTTTCAACAACAACAACAACAAAATCCTAAACTGACTTCACTCATTTCCCCTAAGGGCATTTGGAGATATCTCTTCAGAGGGTGAAATATTACAGAGAGTTAAGATATAATACTGATAACTAAATTAGATAGAAGTTAATAGGCAGTTAAAAAGAAGAAGACCAGACCTAAGATAGAATCAAAACAGAGATGAGATAAACCAGGCCCATAGTTAAGGGCTGAGTTGATGGAAACTAGGCCCCAAGATTGAGACATAATGGCTATGGCCTGCAAGCCTCCTCAGAGATAAATAATAGCTTAAAGGTACACTGTAGCTAGCACCATTTGGGCCAATAAGCCTAAGCAATATAACGAACACATAAAAACAACATAAGAAACACGGATAGATGACCAGAACACACTGGTCCTCACTCTCATCCCTTCCAGAAATGCTTTGCTCTTCTCTGTGCTATGTATCCTTGCTACATACTTTGTTTTCTTTCTTTCTTTCTTTCTTTTTTTTTTTTTTTTTTTTTTTTTTTTTTTTGAGAGACAGAGTCTTACTGTGTAGTTTAGTTTAGGCTGGCCTTGAACTCAGTATGTAACCGAGGCTGGCCTCAAACTAGACAATCCTCCTTCGTCAGCCTCTCAAGTGATGGGATTATAGGCATTACACTGTACTTTTCCTATTAAATCAGTACTAGTTAAGTAACTGTATTTGTAACCCTACAGGTTGAAGGTTAACCCAAGATAAACTATGCTGTGATTTTACCGCATGAAACCTCCCTAGACAAAGAACCTTAGCAGCAACCCACTTTTGGATCCCATCCTGCCTCTCTGGGGCTTTCTCTTAATAATACTTTTTATTCTTTTAATCTCCTTTGTCATTAACTCCATTGTTTCGCATCTTGGGACACAACCTTGACACATCTAACAGGTTCGGAGTTATTTCTCTACAACAAAGCAACATGTGAAAAAAGACCACAATAGTACTATTTGTAAGAGGCCCAAACTGGAAACAATCTAAGTCCATCAGTAGAAGGAGAAAATACATATTACTATGAATAATGAAAGCGATTAACTCCAATGTAATGAATTTTGCAATTATAATGTAGAGAAACAGGGGCCAGACTCAAAAGAGTACCTCCTATACCATATTGTTGCCATTATATGAAGTTCAAAAAGAGACAAAACTTGTGGTGGGAATAGTGACTAGAAATGGATTAGAAGTTTCTGGGGTCCTGGAGATATTGTGTTTCTTGAGTTAGGCACTGTTTATATGGTGAAATTTACTGAGGTGCACATTTAAAGTTTGTTACATGCCCTCTATAGTTTATACAAAGAAAAAAATGGGCTCTTCCCAGCCACAGACTATATTTTTTCATTTGGCCAATGGAATACTTCCACCCAAAATAAACATCTCACATTTCAACAGTGGTATTAGCTACCCTCACTTTTTCCTCATCTCGCCATACTAAGAACGTATTTTAAAAGTTCTAATGGACACGAAGACCACCTGATCTTCCCTGGACATTCTCAACATTTCCTTAGCTAAACCATATCTCCTCTAACAGCAACAGACTTTGCATTAATCTAATTCTGCCTCTATCGTGTAGTACCTCTCATATTATCAAAGACATCTGAGTTCCTTGCTTTCAACTAACTAAATAATTGTAACTATCTAAAATATTGTCCAGAATAATAAAATAATTTGCCCTAAGAATATTGTGTCTTCATCTCTTGCCAAATAAAATGAATTACAGATTTATGAGGGTGATGAATTTTTGTTTCTATTTATTGCAGTCTCATATGCCTCCATATTTAAAATATTATTAGAATTGTACAGACTATATGTATGACATTTTTATGACAGTATTACTTTTAAAAGTAGGGAAATGGAAACACACATTTACTAACAAGAATTGTTAAGTTAATCATGGTATAGTTACACAGCAAACACTTAAAAGGAAATGTCTATTACTATAAAGAGACTTTCTTTTCAAATGACAAAAGGTTTAAGATGTACCATATTCTATCAACCATAGAGTTCTTTACAGCTAATAAATACTAACAGTTTTGCTTCTGTGGAAGGCACTTTCAAGACTAGGGTCATGGAATGGTAGGGAGACTGCATTGTTCATCCTTATACATTTGTCTGAATTATTAATTACTATACCCAGGCTTAAGTTTAAATAATGATAAAATCCTCATGTCTGAGTTTTTCTCCAATTACTCTCCTCCCTGGGGGCCCACAATGGGGGGACATTTGTATAATGTTTGGAGTATATTGACTTACTTTCACCTTGTAGAGCATTGTGTCTCTATCTCCCATAGAGTTGAGCATTGTACACACACATACACACACGTACACAAACACACAAATCTGCCATCCACACAAAGGAATATTCTGATTTCTAGTCATGCCATATTCACCTCCATGGATTTCCAGTTGTACAGGATCACTTGGTGCTGAGAGCCCTGTCTGGCACATGTATTCACCACTGTCACTGAAACTTGCTGCAGTGATGTTGTGTCTGGGAGTTGAGGTCTGAATGGTTGTTCCATTGAGGAACCACTCTATGGAGCTGTGCCCAGGCAGCTGGGGTCCCTCACACCACAAAGTTACATTTTCTTCTCGGAAAACATTGACCCACGGAGGCTGCAAGATGATCACTGCCTTTGTGAAGTTTGCTTGGGTATAAAACAGAAATAAAAACAAGAAACAATCAACAAGTGGAGTGAAAGGAAGGCTCTGAGTGATTAGTAAAGTTTCATGGAAAACACAAGGAAAAATGCATTTTTATATTAATTTGAAAAGATAGGCAAATTAGAATTCACGTCTTTAAGAGCATGTAAGCCCCACTTCAAAAAGCTTTGTTTATGTTATCAAATCTTAATCTGGGTGTTGGGTCTATTGGGTTTTTAAGGAGGAACATTGAGTTACTGACATGGTTCTCCCTGTTGGTAAGGTATAAGCAGCATTTAAGACAGGACAACTGAGTGGAGCCATTTTCCTTGTCCTTGATGCTGTGTTATCTCTAAGGGTAAAACATAGACCCTCAGAGGCTTTTGCATCAGAAATGCCTCCCTTTGAAGATATCACTATGACGTCCTGGCTCTCTCTGCAGAGAAAAAACCAATGTGGCTCTCCTGCAGAGGAGACTAGTCTAGGGGGTGTTGGAAAACCCAGCAGAGCTACTTCTACATTTCTGCAGGTTTGGCTCATCCCTGTAGTTCTATATACAGAGTTGATCAGTCTGGAGTCATTCAGAAAAGCTTAGATAACAAGAAAACTTAAAAATCAGGATTCTGTAAAAACCAGACTCTGAATGTGGGAGTATTCTACATAATTTCCAAGTCTTTCTCATATCTATCCTGTCCCTAAACCCTCTTCTTGAGGTCAATGGTGCTCATTCTTTGGGAGTAGAAAGCGGTATAAGTGAACTTGGGCTGGAGGTCACTCACCCACTTGCCCACCAACTGGAACTGCAAGAAACCAGAGAATAGAAACATCAGTTTGTCAGTAGGAAATAATGACAAAAGGCAAGTTGGGAATAGAGAATGATGTAGACTCAGAAGGATACCTTAGGTCTCTTGAGATTCTCTATCCCTCTTTCTCAAAAGCAAGTATCAGCTGAACTGATGGGCATTGATTTACTTTTTTCCCTAGGGAAAAAACCCAGGGACTGGCACATTCCAAACAAGTGCTCTACCACCATAGATGCACCCTACCCACAATTAGGCTTTAGTTAATATGAGATTTTCAGATGTGGTGTTAACTCTGGATTCCCCTTTACATTATTTTAATGTAGTAAGCACTGAAAAAATATACCATCAAAGCCCAGATACAGTTGTCTCCATGCTCATGATTCCTATTATAATATATCAAAGAAAAACAAACAAACAAAAACCTTAATTCCTCATTGGTGAAGCTTGTCTTCTTCTAACCACTTTGCTGAGTTCAACTTACCCCAAAGGAGAAGAGCTGTCAAAAGCCACATCTTCCCTCCAAGCTGGTGAGAGCAATAAAACCTGTAGTGTGAAAGAGGTTGTGATGAGGCCCCAGGGCAATGATTAGAAAAGAGGAAGGAAGTTGCCTCTTTTGACCACATTCATCATGTGTCTTTCCTGGGAAATATGCGCCTAATTTTCAAAGCATGTTTTTTCTATTCTCATATTCCCTTAGTGCACCACTCTCTGTGTGAAGCTCTGGTTTGGGGTTATGACTTTTGAAAGTCCAGATGGAAGGACTAAATTTTTATGACATTCTATTCTGATTATATTTTCCCTTTATTTGGTTTGTTTCTTAGGGCCAGAATATGGCAAAAATTCCACTTTCACAATTGGTTCAAAAGCTGGTCAATGCTTGATAATTTGAACCTTGAAAACTCTACATCAGCCTCTTTGAAGCTTCTAAAGAGTTACTGAACTCGAGAGCTTTCCCAGCCAAACCAGCCTCTGTTCCTCTGAGGAATACAGGTATACTTAAATTATAAGAACGTACATACATAAAAGATAAAAAGCCAGCTTCCTGGAAGACATTATGAACTTGTAGTGCTTGCTTAGGCTAAATCCAAGGAAATTAAATGTTCAATGTATAGGCTATAGTGAAGAAAAATTACTCATACCTATGAGTGGATGTGGGTTTCAGACAGCAGTAGAAAAGTCTCCTCTCACCAATGCCAGTGTATTCCTGAGGCATAGTTTTAAAGATATAAAGAAGCTCTTAGGTATTCTGTTAAGAGATCTAAGCAGAAACTAGGATGAACTCAGGAACCCTAAGGACCTTGGGTAGCAAGTTCCCTGGCAGAGAGTGAACACTGATAAGTAAAATTGTAGAGCTACTTACTGGCTCTAATTGCTTTGAGTCTACACTGACCACATGATATCTTTAGAAGCAAAGGGTAACTAACTCTTTCCAGAACTCATCCATGTGATGTTTATTGGCTAATAAAACGTGAACGGAAACACCTCTGTGTTAATTTTGAATTTAGAACTAGTTGTAGAAAGCCCCTGTTATTTTCTCTTACCCTTTTGCATTTCTAAGATTGTAATGATAACATTCTCTGGCTAGTCACCATCTAGGAAACAAACTGTCAACCATCATAGCCTGAAGCACAGCTGACTCAGCTGCCCTGGAAACTGGTGAAAAATTTTTGTATGCTGTCTTGGTTACTTTTCTCTCATCACTGATACAAAATATCCAATGCCTAAAATTAAGAAATGAAAGGTTTATTTAGCTCAGAATTTGTGGAGGTTTCAGTGCATAATCTGCTGGGTCTAAGGCAGGGTGATATGGCAGAGAAGCAACAGTTCTGGGAGACAGAAGACAGCAAAAAACAACAAGAGTAAAAAGGGAGGAGTGCAAGAGAAGACTCTTTCTGTCCCTTATATTGTATGTAAGCTACATATCATAGGGTGGATGCAGCACTCACATCCATAATCCCAGCACTAGACAATGAATTAATCATAAACTAGATTCAGCTGCCTCCAAAATCTTGCCTCCATGACTGCATGAGGCTTTAGGGGGGACATCTAGACACAAACCTTAACATATGCCACTGAGATTATAACATTTTTATACAGCAATAGCTACCCAATACAAGTAGAAAACTAGGAAGCTCTGGAAGGAATTGAAGATGTGCTAGAGAGATGGCTCAGCTCACTGAAATTTACACTCAAAGATGATATATATAACTCCTACTATTTTCTCAGTATAGTTTTCCACTTTATGGAGGTACCTTAATTTATTTCATTAAACCTCTCCTTCTTGTTGTTTCTGATTCTTTACTGTTATGACCAGCCCTGCAATACCTTTAAACATTCAACTTACTCTTTCCTCAGGGCTCACTGCTAGAATTGATAGTGGTGACTAAACACATGTACACATGTTTCTTCCCTTTGGATAGTGTTGGCATTGTCCACCATTATCCTCACCACTGCATGTATATGTAGGGAGCTTACTACACACTGAAGTTGTGATTCATATTCATTTTGCATTTCATTCTTATAATAACCTTTGAGTAGACATCATTGTTATCTCCATTTTACAAATGATAAAACTAAGTAAAGAGGCATTTAGGCATTTTCCCAGGGTTATAAAAAATAGAAGCCAGATTCAAAGCCAGGTAGCTGGGTTTAGAAGCTGACCAACAGAATATAGCAGTGTCCACTTCATTCTTTGAAATTCTAGCTGCTGATTTGAAAATAAAGCAAATGCAATTAATTGATCAGGATGAGATGGGGGAACGAGTATTGTTGGGGAAGAGGAATATAAGATTTATGACCTGGAAGGATGAAATAATTTTTTTTAAAAGTTAATATCTGGAGCCTCCAAATGTTAAGGTAATAGTTAATGATACAATTTGAATTGTGGAAAAAAGAACTAGGACTCTGGGGGCAAATACAGCTAATGTAGACACAGTAATGTTCAGCATTAAATAAATGGTCAGTAAAAATCATGGTGCTGACAAGAATCATGAAGAGAATTTACACATAATGATGATCTTTAAAATTGATTCACCATCATATTTTTCCCGTGTTGTGACAAATATTGTTCTTTTTTGACCACAGAAAGTGATTTGTTAAAAATTGATATGTTTTTAAAATTACATTTTTGGTACATTTTAGATATACGTAATGATTATATTCATCGTATAGAATTTGTAACTGTACATGATATTGCTTGTTTATCCCCATTCCCCTACCCTTCTTTCAACCTCTCTTTCTCTCACTTACAAAACTTTGTTTTCATCTCCAAATTTATTTATTTTTTTTGCTTTTCTCTTCTTTTTCCTTTCCCCTTCCCCTTCCCCTTGTTTGCTTTCACATTTGAATATTTCCTTCTATTTTACAATACCTGCTGTACTTTTGGGTACTTATTTACACTTTTAGTTTCTCACATCAGAGAAATAATTCAGTATCTACACATTATCAGACATCATATGTTTGATTTATTTCACTTAAGAGAATGGACTCAAGTTGCATCCATTTACCTATAAAAGTTTCCAGTTTATCCCTTTTATGGCTGATGAGTGCTCCTATCTTTTTAAACCATTCCTCAGTCGTTGGGCACTTGGGTTGTTTCTAAAATTGGGCCATTACAAATGTTACAGCCATAAATGTAATTATTCACATATTGCTGTGGTAAGATGCTTTTAATTCCTTTGGAAAGATACCCAAGAGGGGAATGGTTGAGTCAAATGGAATCTTGAGTCCTAGTTTTTTGAGAAATCTCTGCTCTGATTTCTACAGTGGTTGCACCAGCCTATATTCCCACCAATGATGGAGAAGAGTTCCTTTGCCACTACAGCCTCACCAGCATTTGTTATTGGCTAGTTTCTTGATAATAGCCACTTTTTTTCTGGGATGAGGTGAAATCTCAGTGTTGTTTTAATTTGCATCTCTCAAATGACCAGTGATGTTCAACATTTTGTCATGTATTTATTGTCTGTATGTATCTTCATTTGAGAAGTATGTAATCATCTCAGATGCTCATTTTTGGATTGAAGCTTTAAGTTTGGAAGGTCTGACTTTTTTGAGTTCTTTACATGTTCTCCATAGTAATCTATTGAGGAACAGCTGGAGAACATATTTTTAAACTCTGGGTTGTTTCTTAGTTTGACTGTTGGTTTCTCTTGCTGTGGAAAAGCTAAATAAAATGAGATCCAGTTGTTGTTTCTTTGTGATAGTTTTCTGAGATTGAGATTTTATTCATAAAGTTTTTGCCTACACCAATATCTTCAAGAGTTTTACTTTTCCTATCTCCCAGGAAATTTGATGTTTCTGTTTGAATATTTAGACCTTTCATCCATTTTGAATTTAGTTGAGTGTATGGTGAAAGATATGGTTCCAATTTTAATCTTCAGCATCTGCAAAATCAGTTTTCCCAGAATATTTATTAAAGAGGCCATCTTTCAGTGAATGTGTTTGGGTCTTTTGTCAAAGACAAGGTGCCTGAGTATGTCTGGAGTTGTTTCTGCATTTTTAAAACTGTTCCACTGATCCTTGGGTCTGTGTGTGTGTGTGTGTGTGTGTGTGTGTGTGTGTGTGTGTGTGCTGTTTTTATCACAGTAGCCTTACAGTATAATTTCAAATTGGGGATTGTCATACCCCTCCCTTGCTTTTGTTGCTCAGAATTGCCGTTGCTATTCTAGGCTGCTTCTGGTTCCAAATGAATTTTAGGTTTTCTCTAATTCTATGAGATATGTTGTTGGAATTTTGATTGGAATTACATTGACTCTGTAAAACGGTTTTGGAAGTGTGGCCACTTTCCTATATAGGTTCTTGTCACCCAAGATCAAGGGGTATCTTTCCATTTCCTGATATCATCTTCAATCTTTCAGATTACTGTAATTTTCAATATAGTGGTCTTTTATGTCTTTTTAGATTAATTCCTAGGTATTTCATTTTTTTGAATGCTATTATGAAAAATATTGTTTCCTAATTTCTTTCTCAGTGAGTTTGTTATTTGGTATAGGAATGCTCCTCATTTTTGAGTGTTGATCTTATATCCAGCTACACTACTGAATTTACTTATTAAAATCAAGCAGTCTTTTGGTGGGGTTTTTGGGGTCTTCTATGTAAATTAACATGCCATCTTCAAATAAGATGATTTAGCTTCTTCCTTTCCAATTATTATTCCTCTTATTTCTTTCTCTTCTCTAATTGCTCTGGCCCACGACTATGTTGAATAAGAGTGGAGACAGTGGACATCTTTGTCTTTTCCTGATTTTAGAGTGAAAGCTTTCTGGTTTTGTCCATTTAGTGTAATGGCTGTTGGTTTGTAACAGATGGTCTTTAACATATAAAGACCAACTATTCCAATTTTCTGTGGGATGTTTATCATGAATGAGTGCTGAAGTTTGTTAAAAGCTGTTTCTCCATCTATTGAAATAATTGCAGGACTTTTGTCTTTGGTTCTGTTCATAAAGTGTATTACATTTATTGATTTATATGTGTTCAACAATTGTTGGATCCCTTGGGGTGAATTAAATTTGGTCATGATGTATAAGTTTCTTGATTACAAGCTG